GAAGTTTTTTTTAAGTGAGTAAGTGCACATTTGCCCCAGATAGGGCAAGCATAAGTAATCAAAAGGCGCAGTATTTGTTTATAGATAAGTAAGAAACATTTTTCCTCTAAAGTTGATTTCCTGTTTAAAATAAGGAACAGCATTGCTAGGCGTTGGTAAACTTGTTGGATTTTTGATGATAAGTGAGGCCACCAGGTTAGCCTTTTGTCTAACGTTACGCCAAGGTACTTGACGGAAGGCTTCTAAGGAATTGGTACATTGTTAAAGTTGAGCGAGTATGGAGTACGGTTACGATGTAGACTGAACATAATACTTGCACTTTTTGAGAGGTTTATGGATATTTTCCAGTTTTTGCACCAAGAAGATAAAATGAAAAAAATCATTAGTAAATATTGATTTAACAATGAAAAACAAAAACTACATAGTAAAATTAGACATAACATATCTAAAAATTAAAAACATTGTGCATTGAATTATAGTCATATTATTCAGGGTTCAATCTTACTATGAAATCAATACACGTTTAATGAAATATTATTTCAAAATCAATAATAAATAGTACTCGTAAATAGTAAATACATATTGTATTAATATTATTAATATCATCATGTTGATCATATTATTTTATTTATTATTATTAATTTGTAAAGTACATGCTAATACGGAAATTCATATGTAGGTATTTGAGAATTAAAAATAACTAAATTAATGTAAAATTGTAACTTATTTAAAGACCAATGAAAGCGGCGAAGTGAATGATTGTGACAATACGATGTAGAATAACTGAAAATCGAAAAGAGAAAATGGTATTATCATTTAGATAGTTTTATCGTTTCGTGACTATAATAAGTTATTTTTAACCTTTACTATGTATATAGGCTAAAGCTACAAACGTATTTTTATTCAACTGATACAATGTTCAATTATGTACGTTGTCATCTTTGTTAATAATCTGTTATGTCTGAAGTCAATTTTAAAACCAAAAAAAATAATTTTTCAAAAGATATATTTAATACGTAAATTATTAGAAAAATTGTGTGTTATTATTCTGATTTTATATTTATGTAGTTGTTCATAGTTTTACTAATTTTATTATTGACTAATAATTAATAATTACCAATTAGCAATGATTAATCATTTTTATAGACATTAATGTCACTAATAAAGCATAAAAATTTTAATGAATTTTATTTTATTATCATAGGTGGTAATTTTATTAGAGTGCTTACTGCTTAGTTTTGTTCAAAAGAGAAGTTTTTTCTGTGATAAATATTAAACTATCTATATGAATAATGACATAAAATAAAAATTAAGTTGCCTCATAAAATGTATTACAAGATGTTAACTGATTTAAGTAATGGTACTCAATTAAAAGATGTATCTGATATATTTATGTATTATTCTAAGTAGTCAGTAGGTATATATTTATACTTTATATATATTATACTGAATAATATACCTCCTTTGAGTCCTTCGTCGTTTTAACTATGTGACTATCGAATTTTTGGTAATAAAATTGACATACCTTAATAATGTTTTTATAGATTTAGGTTTAACAATGTTTGAAACGATTCCCTATACATAACATAATAAATGTATATCCATTGAGTGAGACATAAACGATAAATCGGTATTTTGTAAATCATTACAATATCTATTTTCAAAACAATTTAAACGGAGAAACAACCATGGGACACTAATCTAAGTCTTATATTAGAGAGATTGCTTAATATAAGAATATAAAATAAAAATTCACTAACATGGTAAAAAGTACCATTTATACGATTGATATCCAATCATTGATTATATATTGTTATTTATTTCAAAGCTTTGGAGTTTTCTTTTTTCTATAGTTACCTACAACAGTGATCTCAAGAAAAAAAAAGTAATTAAATAGAAAGGTAATGTTAGTTTTTTATAGGTGCTTTAAGAAAAGAAAATATACACTAATATTTTAAATCTGAATCTAAAATATTCAACAAGATTAATTTCAAATGTTTTATTTGTTATTTCTGCTATATAAAAATTTTACCCAATAAACTTCAAGAATGTATTTGAGTATTGAATTACTAATGCATAAAAAAAGTTTTTACGTAAAATTGAAGTTGTATTTTATAGTTCATGTATAGTATATACAAGTATATACAATTCTTTATATATTTTAAAACAATTTCAAATTAAAACGCATACACTACGTATTTTGTACTCCTAATCGTAAAACTAAATTAAATAAATAAATATACAATTAAAAACATAAGATCGGTTAAAACAAAATATAAGTACCTATAGTTGGAAATGAAAGCTGATAACAAAAACCAAATTAATCGATGAGTGTGGTTTAACTAAATCAGAAGAAAATTCATCGCTGTCTGAGGTTACTCATATATTATGAAACCGAGAATACCTAATACCAAAAATATAATTGAAAACAAAACAACATTTAGATTTAAGCTATAAAATGTACAAAAAGTATGAAAATACAACTTTTATTTTTTATTTTTCCGATATATTAATTGTATTAATTTTAGTAAAGTATTTGAAGAAAAAATATTTTTTTTACAATGTCATACACATCAGTAGCATACGCTAGCATGTGTTGGCCGCTTGAAAAATAAAATAGCGAAAAATAAGACAGGGATTTCCATTATCTGTACGAGTAAGATAGAAACGAAATGTTAACGTATTATTGCTGTGACAACAAAACTCGTGAAATTCGGTAAAGAATGGAGTCTTCGCAATGGATAGAATTTGATACGTAAAATTAATAATCTAAAACCTCGATTCTAGATTATATTTTTATTTTACATTATGATATTATATAATGTTTCATATAATTACTGTAGAAAATGTATTATTAATTGTAAAACGGCTTACTTAAAAGATTTTTATTTCATATATATATATATATATACACTTTGCTTACACCATAGAAAAATTTATAAGTTACATTCAATCAGCTGATCGAATTTCCGTTTACTTGTGATTTGAAGTCTGAATCTCTAAGAAACATTGAAACGATCATCAACCAGCGATTATAAGCGTTTGATTTACCCAGTAAACACAGCACTCAAGACCACAATCGCCCAATATCGAAAGCTTACTTATACATCTAGCCATATAGATTTTAATAATATTAAAAATCAGAAAAAAAAATTAAAAATATGGTAAATGAAGGTGAGCGTCATCCTTTTTTACCGCACTGTAGTGGCCAATACACATGTTGGTTAGCAAACGTTCGTTTGATAGAGATTCGGCACTAAGTATTTAACAGCTCCTACACGTTTAGGAGTAAACCATACATTAATAAGTACAAGTATATGAAATAACGTGATTAATTTTAATTATTAAGAAAAAAAAAATAATCAATAAAAAGTATAATAAAATATAATGACGATGAACCTTTAAAACAATAAAACATTTGAAATAATATGATTTTTATACAAAATTTAATATCAATGTTCATCCAAATATTTATTAAACTGTCAAATCAATTTAATTTTTTTTACTAATAAATGCTTTAATTGGCACAGCTTCATATTCTAATAATCTAGTTTCTATCTTAAAATAATATCTAATACAATTAACTTAATATACACTATACAGTTTATGTACATATTTTTAATAAAATACTCAATAATACAGTTTAAAAATCAATATAGAATAAAAAATAATATATTGAACTTAGGTACTTATTTAAAAATTAAATACATTTCGTATATTATTTTAATTTCTGATCAATCTCATAAATTAACAGTTTTAAATGGAATATCTTAAAAATTTACTTGTACATTGAATTTCAAAAATATTATCCAATGTTATAAAAGGAAAAATACTTTAAAATTAAATCAATACATCAAATGGTTATTTCTAAAAAAAAAAAAAATGACCGTATCCGTTATATATTATATAACTTAAGATTCTCTTAAAATACTTTTCGATACCCGGATTAAGGGGTAAATGAGATGAGCAAATTGAGATGAGTGAAATTTATAATTTAGATTTTTGCGGAGGTTGTCAAAACTTCAATCCACTAATGAGTTTTTTAAATACGTAAGTAAGAACCTCCAATGGCTATAAATAATATCATTTAACTATAATATTGTATCATAATATAAAGTTAATTAAGAAAAAATTAAAAATTGTGATAGGTTTTACCGTTCAGTAATTAATTTAAAGAATTAACACAAGATTTTGATATCTAAGTTTTAAATATAATTAAATATAAAAAATAATTTCAAACTTTTTTGTGTCTACTTTGAACTTGTTGAATTTAGTTAACGTACTTTTAAAATATTTTAACTTTTAAAGTAGTTACATACCGACACTATGCCTATGCATTTTGGATTAACAAACAAATCGGAAATTTTAATTTTTTTTTTTTTTTTAATGTTGTTATAATGTTACAAACGTAATTTAAATTTGAAAAAACTTTTCTTTGATTATTATGTTATATTTTGTTATAATATAACCTTGTAGTTCAAGAAATACTTTATAGTCTATATATTTATGTATAATTAAAAAAAAAAAAAAACGCATTATTTAACACTTATAAAAATAATGATAATGATATAAATAATAAATTAAAAGATGCGTGCTGGTTTTAATCAATAATAATTTTAGAAATAATCCTAATTAAATATATCTAAAAAAATATATTTTCTTAAACAATTAATAATAAAATTATCTAAATTCTAAAACGATTAAGTTATGTTTTATAAAAAGCATCTTAAAAGCTATCTAAAACTTCTGATTTAAAAAATCAAAATTACAACCGTTAAATACGAAAATCTATTTGCGTTGATTATTTACCAGGTACTTAGGTATATATTAATAATAATATTATATACTTCTTATACAACGTTTATAAAATAAAATATTTCTTTGTAATAATCAACGATATTAGAAGTGTATGAAGTTTACATTCAATTTTAAAAACTTATCATAAAATGACGTCCGTCATTATTTTACATACTATAAAAATTAAATAGATAAAAAAAATATATTATTAACTATAAATCTCGTTTTCATTATCAACGATCGATAAAATATTGACATGTACCTAACCTAACCTATTAATTATTATTAATTACTAACTTATTACAACAACCATTTCTGTGTATTAGTTATTATATTTAAAATTTAAGCAATATTACTATACAATGAACGTAGCTAGTGATAATTAAAAAAATATATAAATAGGTATGTTAAATTTCGTAAAACCCTCCACCAGACGCTCAAAGAATAGTGTACGCTAAATATTTAGGTATAATATTGAAGTATAAATGTATCTGAAAAAAAGAATAAAATAAGAATAAATATATTATGTTCATTTTAATTTATAAATATTCACACAGCTATAATTGTAAGGTCTTCCTACCTATATATCACGAGTTTTTATGAGTAAAAAACGAACGTAAGATGTTTTGATATTATTTTCTTACCATTATATTTTCATGAAACCAGAAAACGTGATGAAGTACATCAGAGTAGCGCCGGTTAACATCCCAATATTTTGCAATAATAGTCCAGTGTATGCTGACGATTTGCTTTCGACCAGGTTTTCATCGATCATACTCTTCATTTCTGGTGTCTAAAAAACAAAAATAACAAATACAATGTCTCCTTATAATCAATTAACTTGAATAATGTATATTTATAGTACTAATAGGAAATTTAATTTATCAGATCAAATTCAAATAAACGAGAAAAAATATCATTATCATACTCATGTAATATCGATCTTACAAACAGGCACATAATCAGCACTTTTTCCAACAAGTGGGTGATGACAATTTTAGACTATTTTATTATCCCTCGGGTCTCACCCTTCTAATTTTATTTTTCTTCACTCCAACATTTTCATAAAAATGCTCAAAATTTTATAGATTTATAGGTACTCATACTAATTTTGTAGAATATAATTGTTTAATATTTGAATAAAAATACATTATATGTATAGGTATTAAAAAACAACATTATTAGTAAACATTATACGAGTACAACAATTATTATACCTATCAATTGTTATTTGATCCCACACGTATTTATATTACGATATACCTATCTATATATAATTAAAAATTCAAACATAAAGCTAGGTTTATAATACAAGTGAATCCGGTGTCAAACCATTTATCATAATTTTAAAATACAAATAATATATTCTGTCATTTTCAAACAAGTATCTAGAGTAGACTTCATATTTTAACGTATTATTAATTAGTTTTTTGTTAAATTTATCTTGTTATATTAAAAAAAAATCAAAAAATTAACACTTTCCAAGACCGATTTATACATTTTATATAACCAACAAATACGATGATTTGACGTAGTTTTTTCGTCAAGATTTTTTTTTAAATTTCGTTTACCATTGCTATTGTTGACTTGGGAAATGGGAAAAAATGATAAATTATATTATACACTTAAAATGACGTGAAAATCGCGATGCAAAAGTCGTGTGGGCGGGCAAGTCATACAAAATCCCTCCCTGCATAAGCCTCTAAGGAAAAGTGTATACCTACTGTGAAACGAATTCCGAAGGTTTACGAAATAATATATAAAAACGCGGGTCTCGGACGAGCTTATATTGACAAAATAAAATCGATTCACCATCGCCGTATGTATAATAATATGATTTAATGCTGAAAAAAGCCACGTAGAACTGACTAGCTGCACATGGCGATATCTAGACGTCCGTCTAAAATACTTTTTTGTGATATACGTTCAAAAAACTTGTGGCTGTAGAAATTACAAAAATTCAGACAATAAATATAAAATGACAACACTACAGGAGATAATATTTCTCGATACCTATATATTTTTTCTTGATATTTACAACAATAACGACATTATTTTATTTTTTGTGTCATCTATTAAAGTATACACTTCTTCTGTTAGCGATCTTTACAATATGTTTAATTAATCTCTAGTCTTTTGTTATAAATTGCTACTATAAAGTTTAGGATATTGAAATATAAAGGTTAATATAAAATTTATTAAAAAATAGTTATTAATGATTAAACTCTAGCGTTTAGAAGTTTTGAGAAACCAAACACAATACCTGACTAATTGCAATTTGTTGGAAAAAAATAATAGTCTTTGATAATTTAGAACATTAATAACCATTAATTGTACTGTGTATTCGCTTTAGTAATATTTGTTAAATAACCAAATATTATAAATGCATTATATTATGTACATACAAAATATATATTATAATATATACGTTTTTACGATACAGATATGTATGATATAATATTAATTACAAATTAATACGCACAAAATTCAACTAATATGTTATAAAATATTTTGACCAACGTCAATTTAATAACTGGATAATATTTTATCCTGAATAGAATGTGTACAAATATAATGAATATACAATAAAATGATTAATATATAAATGTAACTTGAATAATTTATAAAACGCTTTTCAATTTTGTATTGATAATAAAATGATTAAGAAAATATTCAAACCATTGTTTTACAAAATTAAACACCAATTTGTATAAAGTTGGCATAAAATTAAATCTATTGTAAAACCTCTCTAAATATATATATATATAGTTAAATAAAAATGAACACAAAATAAACATATATTTTGTTTTGTTTTAGCTACATACAACTTACTAATTAACAAAACAAACTTATCATCCTATGTTGGTAAGTATATCGAGGGTGTGGTCACGTTAATGCATTCATATAATATAACTTTTAAATAAATAAAAAACTGATAAAAAAATATCACTCAAAGTGTATTGAGGACAAAATAACAATTATATTAGTGTAGCCCAATGTTTCTTAAACTGTGTTCCGCGGAGATCATTTCATGGAACTTAAGTAATTTTTTCAAAATTTTCAAGAAAACTACTTCAAAATATCTAACTAAAGATTAATAGCGGCTAGTGGAGAAAAAAAAATGTTTGTACAACTTTTATCAATAAAGCCCAATATTAAGAGTATTTGTATTAATAAAAAATAATTTCACTTATCTCATTAAAACTAAAATTTAGTCTAATTCCAGTAATTTAATTATTATTATTATTATTTAAAAATATTTTTTTAATTAAATACATTTAACACATTATTATTATATGAAATAATTATAATTTTTATTGCAAATAATCATAAAAAAAAAACTAAAAAGCTAAAAAAAGTGTAGGGGTCTCTCGATAAAAGTGAACATCAAAAAAGGTTCTACGGATAAAAAAGTTTAAGAAACGCTGGTATAGCCTACTCTACAGTACCTAACAATTAGCGTACTACCTATTTCTTGAAATTAAATTTCAAATTTTTGAATCTAGAAAAATAATTATTATAATCTATTATCTTTATCTGTATTATTTTATAAATTAATTAATTTTTCCAAATACTAACTTAACTGAGTCTTTAAAACTAATAATAAATAATAATTCACATTAAATAATAGATTTAATTTTATAACTTTTAAAAAAAAAAGCTGCCAAATTTTGTTTGGTTTATAAATACGTGCAAATAATTACACGTCTTCACCTAACCTAACCAAACCACTGCAAAATATTAAAATACAATATTATTAATGTTTTTAAGCCACCGTGGTTCACTTATCTTAAATTGGAAATTAAAACTATATGAATGTTTAATGTGATTTGTGTGTAATTTGATTTATGGAAAAATAATTCCAACAGTCTTGTAATATCAACTTTTGTATTAACCCAATCTAATCGAAAAACAGAACTTTAAAAGTTGTCATAAAACGAAATGTTTCAAATATCATTTTTCAAAACCATGTTGTATTATATAACATAATCGATTAATTATAGACATTATTTGTATAGTTATATATATATATATATATTATATTATTTATTTACATTATTTTATTAGACATTCATTTGGATGATACCAGTTTAAAAAAAAAAATCAATAAATTTAGTAAAATTATTTTGAACTTTTGAAGACATTCTATATAATAAATATTATAGGTACAGTGTCATCTGACATTAACGATCTAAAGTTATTTTAAAAATGTCATTCGGTTTCAGATTGTAGAATGCTAAAGTAATAATGCTATCACAATAAAATGTAGGTATGTTAGATTTATATTTTATATAGCAAATGAATATAGGTATTCAACAAGAGCTTAACAGTGTGCAGACTGTTTTTATACTTTTTATACTGTTTTTATACTTCATTTGAGAGTGACAATTTTTAAGTCACGTAGATAATCGATTTGGAGGCATCCCATGACCACTTAAAAAGATATTGCAGAACTCAACGGGACCAATGAAAAAAATAAAATAATAGTGTATTCGAAACACCGACACAAAAATATCTGAGGTACAAAGAAAATATAAACCAAAAACAAATTCTAAAACTTTACTTGTACAATTCGCTTAGCACAATCATTTTTGCAGAATAAAACGATCACCAGTCTACGAAAATATACGTGTAAAACAACATAGATCTTATACAATAAAAAACTAAACATATCCGCTTGCAGTCAACCCCGTATTACTCAGGACTATGCAATGTGTATGATATACAGATAATATGAAATTTATTTATATGTATATTTATTACGTACCTAAATATAACATTTTAACTTAATATCTAACCATTATGTTGCGTAAATTAGAATCGTTATTATTAAAACACACCTTTATGCACATAAATAGTATTTATATTTGGTATAATATTATTGATAAACACATATCCTTAACCAATAGTAGTGGCGTTCACAGTACGCATAAGCCAATATAAATAAATTGTAAAAAAACAATTTCTAAAAAATAAAAATATAGTAAATAATAATATACAGTAAAGTTATACTAATATTTCATTAAATATAAAATAGTAGAAAATAAAAATAAAATTTAAACCAAGCTATATTATTATAGACATGCGGTCAAAGTCGTTACTATCATAATTATTATTGTTATTTTTGTTTATTTATTTCACGAAATTATAAATTTAGGTTTTTGACCGACTCAGAGTTATATGATTTAAAATTGATTTTTGGATATGGTTTATATGAATAACACCTATTGAATATTTATTGCAAAGTAATTTAATAACTACATTACACTTAGCGAAATTATTTCAATTTAATTTCTAGCGTAATGGAACATCTAGTATTATATTATAGTATAAATTGTATTATAACCCATGTTCCACTGAATAATATGCTTATTTAAATATAGAAAAAATACAAAAATGTTTCATTTGAGAATTAAAATAGTTAAATTGACATTAATCAGTTTTTATTTTACGTTTATCTATTATTGATTCAATCAGTTATGAATATTATTTTTATTGTATTTATTAATTTTCAAAGATATAAAACATGATATTAAGTATTAATTTTAAAATGTTTTTTGTGCTTTTTTAACAAACAAATTAAACTACTTTAAATCGTGAAAAATGCTAAACTAAAATAAATTCCAAAAGTCCTGTTTTAAATTCATAGTAAAAAGAACCTTTTATACATTGTTTTTTTTTTTTTTTTTTTAATTAATTCAATAAACAAACTGACTATGACATTTAAATACTTCAATGTATACTAGTATAAACAATAAACATCATAATTGTTTATACTGTTATTATAATATA